CTTTTTCTTAACTCTTCTGCTTTCCTCTCATGTTTACTTTCAGACTTTTAAGGTCATCCCCACCTCATTTTAAACTGTTTTAAACTTTTTAGCCATACAATTTTAATCCTACAGCAAACTGTTGACTTTTCTAGGTCTTTTTTTTTTCTCCCTTTGGGCTTTGTGTTTCTGACCTATGACCTCCCTTGCTGTGGGCTACAAAGTTGATGTTCTCGCTTGTTCACCTCATTGTGCAGTCTTACCCATTGTAAGTCATTGTTGCTGCAGCAGCAGGCTATTTTTCGCTCCCAAACGAGAGCTGAGGTCACTGAGACAAAGCGGAGAGAGCAACTTACAGGTCAAGTCCAAGGTAAAAGCCAGAGAAATCTATCATTCATGAGGATCATATTAGATACAAGATGGAAAAATAAACTTTTTCTCAGTGTGTCTCAGTTTCAGATTTTTAAAACCATGAGAAGATTATGAAAGAAATAACAAAATATATTATGTCATAGAGCCTTTTAGTTTATTCATTAAAGAAAAAAATGAAGAGTATCTCAATGGGGTAGTAAAACTGAGAAAGTTTTCACTTCAAATCCAATGAAGAGTTGTTTCCATGTTTACATTCATTCCCATAAGACCAGTTGCCATCTTGTTTTCCATCATCTCTGTTTATATACATCATTTTCTCTGCAGCATAGTCTTTTATTTGTCTCACACCGATTCAATCACAGTTCTTGTTTTTTGTTTTTTTTTAACTGTCACCACCACTCAGTCATTTTTTGTCTTCTGCATCAAGGGCGCATGAAGTAGCAGTGCTCCCTGGTGGCGGACAAGCACTACAGCAGAGGTTTGAGGAAACTTGCACATCATTGTCTCATCTTTCAATGCCTTCTTATTAGCTATGTCTAAAAGAAAAAAAACAGAAAAAAAAACTATTGACTTCAAGTTTGTACAGAAATCTGAATAAATATCTTAGTATCCTGTTTTCCTTTTCTTTTTCTAAAAGTCCAAGAAATATGCAGAGAAAACTTTTTATATTCAAGAAAAGTTGAGGAGCTTGAATATATAGTTATATGAGAGGAAATTACATTTGAGTATATAGAATATAGTGAATATAGAATATAGTATATAGAACATAATTCATTTTACCATACCAAAAATACTACTCTCACTTTAACCCCTCTTTATTCTGCTTTAAAGCCCTGTCAGACTGACTGAAGTCACATTAAAGGAACCGCACCATCACAAGACACCAACTTCTGTCAAGTCATGTGGCGTTTTTCTGTCAGATCATTCCTCCCAGCTTTAAGTTCTGACGTCCCTCTTAGTGCCTCTTGTCTTCATTCAGCCTCTCCTCAGGTGTAATAGAGTCATGTGAAACCGCTTGCATAGCAGTTTCCTGGACTCACGTGGGATTTTCACAAACAGACAAGATGATTGACATTGTTGGCCAAATAGGAGAACAAGTCCCTGTCAGCACATTTGCACTTCAACTGCATTATATTTGTTTGATAATTATATGCATTATAAAAATGAGTGGAACAGAATGAAAGGAGGTGGAGAAAGAATAGCAGAGAATCAAAGTAAAAGTTGAAAATGACTTGACATTTGGTCCAAGTTAAATTAAGCATGACCAAATGCCGCAGACTGCAGACCTCAGTGAAAGCTACTTTGTCTGACCAAGCTCCTTCTCCCTTAATGAAGCTAAAAGAGTCTTAAACAGCTTAACACGGTGTTCAGGTTTCTACCTGTGTAAGGCTATACAATGAGTGTAATGATGCACAGAGCAATGATGTGTGCGAGGATGTGTGCACAGGATAGAAAAACTCTGTGGACAAAAACTTACTGTATGTATGTGTATGCGAGGGGGAAATTGTGTCAGGGAAAACAGAGACGACATCAGAGTCCGTATTAGAGGATAATTACAACTAAACAACGGGAGCCTGTTCCCATGAAGAATCCAGGAGGATTATCACCGCTTATTGCTCCTTTATGTTGTCCACTGTTTTTTTTTTTTTTTGTGGATGTGTGCCCAACTTGGTAGCTTGCCTTAAATGGCCTCTGCATGGTTTGCTGGGACGTCTTTAGGTTTTTTCTCTGCAATGTAAACCGTAGAAAACTTTACAAATTTGCTGATTTCTACTAGCTCTTTGATCTCATTGTTATGCTTGTACATTTCATAATATCCATTGAATCTGAATCTAAATCCTTTATCGTTTCTTTTTTTTAAACTTAGTGTTATGGAATCATTAGCAAAAACAATCTTCCCAGCTTAGACCACCTACAGGGGTCCGTTTCAATAAGCAGGTTCACTGAAGTTTTCTAAATCTGAAATTTGGGAAACTCAGAGTTTTCTGTTTCACAAAGAGAGTTTCCTCAATCTCTGTTCAAGTTAGCGTAGTAACATTCTACTCAGAGCTAACCTGGTCAGGAGCAAGTTTTGTTCACGACAGTCAGAGTTCCTGACCTCAATCAATTTAGAGTTGGGGATTTGAATCTGAGTTTGTTAAACCTGCTTCTTGAGACGGACCCCAGGTGAACCTACATATCCACTCACCTTGGATCAAAAAACACAAAGCATGCTTTTCCTCACTCACTTTTTATTTTATTATTTTTAGGAAACACTAAAACATATCAGTAAAGAATAGTAAAAACAATGTGCCAAGAACAGAAAGAGAACTGCAGACTTCCTCGCCTTATAGGGTATAATTTCTTAAAACTTTAAAGGTATTATGGAGGATTTTCATAATATTATGGAGTTTTTGAAAAGACCCGCCCTCTCCATTTAATAAAAATGCACATGCACAACTCTGTACCCGCTTCCGAAACGGAAAACGCATTAAATTAATTAATTTTAAATACATTCAGGAATATTAATATCATTTTCAGAGACATTTCTTTGTGGTTTGATTAAACTAAAACTATTGCTTTATTAAAAAACTGGTAAAAGAGAAAAGTAGGAAATGTGCAAGCCAAACCACACCATCCGTTAAGTACATAAAAAACGTGGCAGCATCATTTGTTGTATGCTTTTTGTTGTTGAAGGAAACTTAGTCTAGTAGGATTACTACTAGATGTCAGCACATCACATAAGCAAGCTGAAAACTTCAAAAGGGATGAAAATATTTCACTGAATATTTCACAGTATTTAGCTTAGGTCTTTTTTCTTTCTAGCTTTCTTTACAGCACATCATATAAAAATTAAAATAAATAAACACAGAAAATCTAGCTTCAAAGTAGCTAACAAACATTTCTAAATACTGAAACTAAAAATGTTCAATATGCTTAAAAAAGAAACATGTATTGCTCCAATGTAGACCAAACTCTCTTGAATGAACAACGCAACTGTAAATAAAACTGTTATGGTTCTCCCCTTTTGGACTTTGAGTTTTCAGTTATCTAAGTCATTCTGTTTTGTTGATCTTTGGTTTATTTTCCATTTTGTGTTATATTCAGGGCAGTCTTGGGTTGCTCTCTTTTGCCTCCTGGGGCCTGTTTCAGAAAGGAGGTTAAGTGAAAACTCTGAGTTTGTTAACCCTGAAATAAGGGAAACTCTGGGTTTTCTGTTTCAGAAAGGGAGGTAAGTTAAACCTGAGAATGGAGAGTAAATCAAGCCTGTTTCTGAAAGAGAGGTAACTTATACTCAGTGTCAGTTACCATGGCAATTTACTCTGTGAACCTAACCTGGTCAGGAGCAGGTTTTCTTCAGAAAATCCAGAGTTTATTTTGGTCTCCTCCCCTTTTTTAAAGAGGAAGTGGTGTTTAAACACCTCATTGATTCTTTGGGGACATATTCATTGCACAAATTTCAGTCACGTAGTGCGCATCAAAGGGAATGAAATGGCATGTCCTTTTATGGATGATCCTGTTGACGAAGAGGCTGTATTACTTTGTAGGGAGTTACATTTATGTCGGGAAAGGATTTTGAGGCCCAGAGTGGATTTTATGTCATATCCCTATCCATTTTTATTTGAGCGTTACCGTTTTTCTTTACAGTCAATAAGATACATCCATAATCTCATCCATCCTTACATCAGAAACATCAACCATCGTGACCGTGCTCTTACATCCCAGCAGATTCTTTGCGTTGCCTTACGTTTCTTTGTGAATGGAAGTTTTTTTTATAACATCGGGGATGCTGAACATATTAGTAAGGCTACTGTTTGCAGAGCGGTAAGGAAAGTGTGCCTCGCTCTTAAGCGCTTTCTGAGAATTTTTGTATCGTTTCCTGGGCACAAACCAGTGAGAGTCATCAAAGAGGAGTTTCACAGGATTGCAGGTCAGTGGTGTATAAATCGGTTTAAATGAGGCTAACCTGATAAATTACATTCAGTTAAGAATATCTTGCTGTGACCCCTGGAAGTAACCTAATAATTAGAATTCCCTTTAGGATTTCCGAATGTGGTTGGATGCATTGATGGCAGACATATTCCGATCATTGCACCTTCTGAAAATGAAGCGGACTCTGTAAACAGGAGATCCATCCACAGTATTAATGTGCAGGTACACTGACAGCCTACTGTTTCTAATGGTCAAAGACTACACCACAATACTGTAACATCTCTCATTCTTTGCACTGTCAAGATCATATGTGATGCTGCACATATAATTACAAATGTGGAGGCCAAGTGGCCTGGTTCTGTTCATGACTCAAGAATCTATCGGGAGTCAACCCTGAGCAACAGACTGGAAAGGGGTAAGTAAATGTATATCCTTTACACATATTTCAATGTATGCACTAAACACTTACAGGGGAATTTCTATGCAGCTCTAAAGCAATGTGAACTTTCTTACAGGAGAGATTGATGGCTTTCTGCTGGGAGATAGGGGTTACCCATGCCGACCAAATCTTATGGCCCCTTACCCAGAACCTGAACCAGGCCCACAGCAGCGCTTCAATGTGGCACACTGCAGGACGAGAGCCCGGGTGGAGATGACCATAGGCCTGTTGAAAGCACGTTTCCAGTGCCTACGTCACCTCAGGGTAACCCCTGAACGGGCCTGCGACATTATTGTGGCATGTGTTGTTCTCCATAATATTGCCATAATTAGAGGGGAGCAACACCCTGCCCTACAATTACAAGACCCTGAGGAAGAGCCCATCAACCCTGCAGATTTCCAGGATGGAAGGGTAGTCCGGGATATGATATGCCGCAATGTCTTCTCAGATTAATACACATGATATCCACCACCACCACAAAAAAAAATGAATAAACACAAAATCACAGCAATTTATGGTGTTCTTTATTTCATACAAATGCAACCACAAAATAAACTAATTAATAAACAAAATCACAGCAATTTATATGGTGTTCTTCATTTGCTAAAAAAAAAAAAAAAAAGATTTTAAAATAGTTTCAATACTTCCTAGAATTCACCTGTGACCATACACTCACCTCTAGCTTTAGTTTCAGAATGTCGATTTCCAGATCTGCCTTTTGGATCTGGCGGTCCAAGTATACAAGTTCTTTGCTGTTTTTTTCTATCTTTTTAATAAGAAGAAGTCTATATAACTCCTTAACTGGCAACTGAAAATACATTAGATTAGAGTCACATCATGAATGTAGTCTACAATTCAGAATGAAACTGGCATTTACTGTAAATCACTGAACTGTGTCCATCTGTGCACCAGAAGTTGATGGACCTTCCTCCTGCTGTTCTTCCACACTCTGGGGTGTAGAGATAAGAATGACCATTTATGGATATAAACTTGGATTCTATAGGCTACTCCACATATAAATGTGAATGTGTAGATTGTTTGATGTGTAGACAAATAATATTAAAATTACCTCTCTAGGCCTGTCTGTGGCAGCAGAAACAGTTTCTTCATCCCCATCATCCTGTGAAGATGAACATTTCATAGAGTACACTTTATAATACTATTTGTCATAATTGATGGTGTATGGAGTAGGCTACTGACAACTGGATGGGGTACTGTTGGGACAGGAGGCTCCAAGAGGCAGATATTACCATCCGAATCTGTTGGGACCAACAAAAAACCCAACCCAAAGTAATATAAATGGAAATATCACATTTAGTCTACATAAAAAAATAACACTGTAGGTAGACCTCTTACATTTTATGAAGGCACTTAAATCTTCTGGAGTGACTGGCTCTGATGAAGTCCCTCTAGGAATTCCCTCAGCCATTGGCCTTCCAGCATTTAGGCTCAGGGCCATCTCTTCTGCATTTGTCAGTGGTGGTGGTGCAGGTCCTCCCCCTGTTTTACGAGCCTCTGCCTTCTTTCTGTTGGCTGAGTAGAAGTCAAATGAGAATGAACATTTAGACCTATGTCAAAAATGCTGCTGCACTGCTAGACACTGAATGCCATTTAGTCATTTAATATGTCAAATATTTGTAAAGCCAGGTAGCTACTCTACTCCCATGATGTGCTCAAGGCTTACCTGCTTGAAGTATGTTTTTATATTTCATTTTCAGCTGCTGTCATGTTCTTTTGATGCCTTCAGGATTGCACCTATCCATGAAAGCTAAATTAGGTTTAATAAAATACTGTTCTTCCAGTTTCACCTCTGATATTATAACAGTTGGGTAAGTTACTCTAAAATAGTTCTTAATTACTAACTACAAATTTTATCTTCAACAAGTCTAATTAGATTAATGTAATAATTACTGTCTCTAGAAAGTATTGGTCTACTTACTAATTTGTTTTACTTACTTATTAATTACTTTCTAAATCCCAAATCAACCTCAACCACTTGAACAATACAAGGAGAGAGAAGAAACTGCACTTCTAATGCTTTCAAATAAACAATATTCAATTGCATGAATTAATCTTAAATTGACCAAAGTGTGTAACTAGAGGGAGAAAGTTCAAATCAAAATATACCTTTTAAAATTTGATATTAAATCCACTATTGTTTTATAGTCTTTAATTTAATTACAATATTTATATGACTTAAGTAACTTAATTCATTACACCCAACACTGTATAAAAGTAATTAAAATGTAAACTTACGCATTGACTCGAGCAGCTATTTTCACCCAAGCTAACTCTCTCTCCTTCGCCGCTGCAGCCGTGTTGTTTTTTTTTTTAAATACATGTTCAAATTCTGCATATGCTTGCATAAGCACATCCAGTTCTGCTGGTGAGAAATATGCACACCTTTTTTTGTCTGACGCTGTTGCCATGGTGACTCGTAATATCTGTGCTCCATTGATAATGGCTTTTTATAGTTGTGGTGCACGCGCCTAACTCAGAGTCAGTCAATTTAGAGTTGATTGAACTAACTCATTTCAGCTGTTCTGAAACCCAAAACACAGAGTTTCCAATCTCAGGATAAGTCAACTCAGAGTTCAAGTTTTAACTCAGAGTTGGTTGAACTTCCTTATTGAAACAGGCCCCTGGTGCCTGTCTGTTTTCCCCTTGCTAGTCACTTCTATCCCCACCTGCTCCATATCAGCTGATTACCCCAGTCTTTGTTCTGTCTTCCATATATTTGCAGTTCTTCACTACTGGTTCCTTCTTTGCTTTGCTCCGTGTATGTTTCTTCCTGGCATCTCATGATTTTTGGTTTATTTGTTTTGGTCCTGAATTTGTACTTTTGCTGTCACCAGAGTTTAAGTAAAATCTGCAAAAACTCATCTCCTCATCTCTGCAATTGGATCCTCAACCAACCTCCACCAAACCCTTACAAGAACTACTTATACTCAATACTTCTATCTTCTAACAGTAATAGTATTATGTTTCACTTAAGTGTCTTACAGTTATAACATTTTGAGGACTTTGAGAGATATAAAAGAGATCTTTGAAAATGTTCTGTTTTGCTCAACCTTTGCGGCTAAAACATCTTTAGGGAAAACTTTACACAGCATTTAGAAGTTTATTGTAATGTATAAACATCCTCTAAAGTATACATTTGTGAGGTCAGACACTAATATTCATCCCAAAGCTTTTACGGTTGTGGTCACCATTTTTTCCAGGCAAGTTTTGTTCTTTGACATAAGCTTTCTCATCAGGGGGTTTATTTCATGTTGGAACAGGAAGGGGCCATCCCCAAGCATGACTATAACAAAAAAATAAAATAAAAAAAATTAAAGACTCAACTCAATGAAACACTCTCCATCAAACCAAATTTAAACTGCCCTAAAGTCCACTGATGCTGTGATTTTCTCTACTACGTTAAATTGCAGTTGGTGGCCTAACGCCTGAATTTAACTTCCTCAGCTTTAAAACACTTTCTTTTTTTTTTATTCCCTGTTCAGTGTTCTCAGGCTAATCGGAATGCCTCATAAATTCTGATTCACTCTGTAGTTCTAAAACAAAATAGAATCACAAACAGCTGAAATTTTACACACCTACAGCAAGTTAAGTGGGCAAGTTATCGTTCTAACAATATAGTATAATGTGTTTAAAGATAATTTTGTTTTCAGCGCATGCATGAAATAAAAATCATCTTCCCTTTTTTTTTCGTTTTTTGTGGTAATCATTTATAATTTAAGGGGAACATTATGCTATTTTCAAATGTTTTATTATTCATTTAGACAAGTTTTTCCTTACAGGTTTGGTTTTGGTCACCTTTCAATTTTCTCTTCTTCACTTCTGAGGGAAAAGATGTTGGCCAAGGAAAGGCGCCTCCTTTGTATGTACTGTCAGGGTCAGAACCAACCAGATCCCGCAGACTCCTTTCCTGGCCTGATCCTGGATCCTTGCTTCCCTAAACAAAATGGACCTCTGCTCGCCAGCCTGGACCCACAGAAAATGCTTTTATTGAATATGGAGCAGAAAGCGCTTTAACACAACTGCACAAAAGTAATTAGCAAAAGACATATCCAAACCTGGCTGGTCTGCATTTGGACAGAAACACGGGATTTATGCAGTTGTGGGGTTTTAACAAAATTTTATGTACTGTGACAGATGATGGAAAAATACAATATAACAAGCTCCTAATTTAAGTAATTTTTAACTGACTCTTGATTTATATAAATAATTGATTATATTGTTTTGATTTAGTAAGTAGTGTTGTCAAAAACCTTTGTTCGTTCACACTTCTTAACATAAATATTCTATTAAACTCTTGATACATGTGGACAGTTGATTTTAATTTTTTTTTACAAAAAAAAAGAATCAAAAGCAGTTTGATCAAATTAGCTTGCTTTGTATAGTCCGTGAATCATTAACAGTGATAACTTTAAACCGACTCTGGTAAATTTTGCTTTGTTTATTTTAACACTTAGTAGCAATGGAAATATGATATAAGTCAGACATTTTATAAAGAGTCTAAATCCAGTCACCAAAGTTGCAGCTGGACTATTGAAACCTGAAAAGTTATTGATCCCTCAGAGACGAAGCTCCCAGCCTGAGCCCTCCCTGTGAGACAAAAGTGGGCGTCCCAGCAGAAAATTAGCGCATTTAGCTGTCATCGCTCAGCTCGCTTTACAGTTCCAACCAGCATTCACACAGAGAGCCCTGGCCTCTTTTCTCTTCTCCCATCCATCCTCCCCATGTCCCACCCCTACCCTAGATTACGTGCTCGCTTTACCTTTTTTTTGAAGGAAAGATGATCCCCTGTATACCTCAGAGATCAAGACATGAAGGTGTAAACTGCAGATAAATGTGATCAAGTGTCACTGTCATCTCAAGCCCTCAGATCGGAGAGGCTGGCTCGCTTTCTAGGCTTATTTTTCCCCTCCCCAGCCCCCTCCTTCTCAACAACATAGATTAGTTACCCCCTACTTGTGCCTTTTAGTGAGAACAAGACGTAGAGATGAGATCTTGTACTCTGTAGATTTTAGATGGTCATAATCACATTTGAGATAAGGCTGATGGATTCTACAAAACAGCATTATTTCAAGCTACATGATTCAGTTCAATTCAGTTTATTTATAAAGCACCAATTCACAACACATGTCTTCTCAATGCAATTTATAGAGACAATACAGTCAGATTGGATAAAAGTTTCTATCAAGGAAAACCAGCTGATTGCATCCAGTCACTGACTACCGGGACGCGCTCTTCCTGGACGAGCTTGCGACGACAAATTTTCGCTTGCATTTTGTGGTTGACTGCTCGGCAACCCCTCAAACTGAGTATGCATGCAGTGACAGTGGAGAGGAAAGACAGCCCTTAACAGGAAGAAACCTCCTACATTGAAGAAACAACCTACATTATGGACACTGGTAGATAATTAAAGCCAAGTAATTTGTGAGTGTGGAAATACTTTTAAACATACATTATTTTGTCAGTCAGCTATCAGGCTTAACATTCTGCTTTTATCCTTACATTAGACCTTTTTTAGGAAAAAAAAATATACGTGTATTTTCAAAAGTGCATCGATTAGGCTTAATATTATGACCTAAGAGGACCTAAATAGTCTCTGGCTGAAATGAAAGGATGAATCCACTCGGTTTTAGACATGCCCTGACCCAGATGCCTGCAACTGAAGTTTGGTCTTTGTCACACTTGCTCAAGCAATGATGCTTACTAGTTCTCACTGCTTCTGACTTAAACAGGTTTAATGAGGAACAGAGCTGGCTCAGTGATAAGTGCCTCACCTATCAAAGGACATATCTTCTAATCCCCAATCAGTGGTGATATTCCCCTATATTTTTTCTTTGAAATTATAAATTAACCTGTAATTCAACTAAAAGTCAACAATTATAACATATTAAAATACAGAGGTAAATGTGCTGCTGTATTTCAGCTTCATGTTTGAGTACATGATGAAGCAAATGGAGAGCAGAACTCCAGGAAAGTATTAGTGTTTTATAGAAAGAAAAAAAAAAGAAGGGCAGCACAATGGAAACATGAAGGAACCAGGAATGAACCAGTAAATGGAGGAGAAAACCAGGCAACTTAAATACAGTTCAGAGCAGAGTGATGGAGAGCAGATAAGAGAAATTAGGAGAGCATGAGAAACAGAGGAGAAAAATTAAGTCAACTTAAGTAAAGTCAGAAGGAGAACCTTAAAACATGACTGCAGATTTTATGTTTTTTTATCCATTGTTTATTTAGGTCTCAAATAATTAAAAAATCCAATGTTTTTGTGCAGTTACTCTAACATGCATCCCAATTTACTTTGATGTCCATAACTTTTGCAGACTAGAGTAGAACATGATCTATTTACACCTCTTTTCTTCTTTTTTCACCGTATTTCTTA